GGAAGAGAAGTCCCTTCCTGAAAGCATGGTGGTCTGCAGTGCGGCAGACGAACCTCACGTGCTGTGTGGAGCAGCGAGACCTGAGGCACATCGTGGGTGTCCACGGGATCGCCCTGGAACAAGGCTTGGGCTTCTGAACAACATGGCATTTGCTTTAAATAACTTCCACAGAAATTCAGCCACTGCAGGAACTAAACATTTCCCCGTGTCTTTTGGGGCCAAGACTTTGTATGCTTCAAGGTATAATGAAGATTAAAGGCAATATTCTTAAATGAACAGGGAGATGCTTATGCCAAAATATACATGAGTAATCTAGAGCATGATACAAAAATGCAAATGCAAGAATAGAAGGAAATCAGGACACTGTAATGCATATTGCTTTAATTTGAGGAGCAAAGGGATTTGAGTGGATTTCTAGGGTATAATGCAATACAGAATAATACAGTGTTTATGTCAGATATAGCTGATGAAAGCTCCCAACAGATCAATGCAGGAAAAGGGTATAAATCAGTAGTATTGGAAGATGTCACATGAGAGCAAATCTGTTCTCAAACTAAGGTAATATTTTCTATTACTCCCTGTAGTTGAATACAGTTAATGTGAAACAACGTGGGAGAGAGAAAAAATAATCCAAATGGCACTTGAAGGGAAAATGGAAGTGTAAAATATCATCTCCTGGATCCATCTTCTGCACAGCCAGCTCTGGGAGAGAGAGCACCTATCCCATCAGCAACCACAAGGATAAGGCTGCAATGACCAACTCTGCATCTGGGACTGAGGAGAACATCTGTTCTCCCCTTCAGGGAGCAGCACCCTTGGCTGAAGCACTGCCTCAAGGTGTTGCCCAGCCCTTGGCTCTGGGGCCAAACCTCTCCTCTAAGGAGAGGCAGACACAGCCCAGCTGAAAGGGCAGAGCTCTCTGCGGGCATGTAGACAGGCATTGCTCGTAAGAGGCGCAAAAGGTGTTGCCCCACATATCCTTTGCATTACATTATCTCATTCATTTTGACTGTGTTAAATCACTTTAATACACCATATACTGGTGTGTGATGGTGTAAAACACTACTTGCAAAGGTATCTGAAAGAATCATCTTTCCATTCAGCACAGACTTTACTGAGCAAAAAGAAAATGAATAAGCATAACTAAGAAAACTACTATTCCTGTCTCCACTAATTTCTTCTCCTTCATCATCAGTTGAGCTTTAATATGTAAATGAATGGGGAGAGCCTTCTGGCTTTGCAGTGTCTGTGAGTGAAGGTTCTTGATGACAAACAATTTTGAAGAAAAAGGGAATTTGCTGTATGGTGAGCACAAGCTAGGACTCACTTATACTGATCTTAAATCACTGGACTTATTTCCAGTCATCGCTGACACGAAATCAGACTAAGGGAGCACCAACCAAGCAACTGGTCTTCTGCTTGGGTTGGGTTCTTCCCGTCCGTGCTGCGCACCTTCCCACCCCATTTTTCCCTGGGTTGCTGTAATGTTCTTCCTACAGTAAAAGAGAAGAGAAACATGATTAGGTCGTTGCAGGTAGAACAAGAGCTGGCTGCAGCAGAGCTGTGCGCCATCCCCCTCCCCTGGGGCATGTTTGACTGTCTCAGCTGAGCGCATCACCTCTCTCCCAAGGTCTTGCATGTGAGGGCAGGAGACTCAGGCTGGGTAATTGCTGCTTTTCTCTCCAAAACTTGGTTTAGCAGTATTTGTAGGGATATCCTCTTTTTTTCTGCCTGCAGAAATCATTTTACATGCATCTGCCTGCTTTAGCTTCCGCTTGATTTCTCTATCTACCTAGAGCTCAGAGTTGAATAGATAGGTAGATACGTTTGAAGTTATCCTCTTGTGCATGAATGCCTGTTTTTTCAGATAAAATTCTTTGACATCTCAAACTTCTATCTTGAACATATATTAGACAAGTTGCTTCATATATATATATATAGATATATTTGCAGTGCTCACGAAGTGATAGCTCCATTGAAGTTTCTGTTAGGAAATGTTTTTTTCCTGCACAGGCTGGAGGGGAGGGGAGGGGAGGGGATGGGTTTGTAAACCAGCTTCGCAAGATCCCTCTGACCTGGAATTTCCTTCACTACAGGATGAACTCTCAAATGTGGAGAGAGAGAGAGAAGGTGACAGTGTTGTCCTTGGGTCACCAGTGCAGATTTGGGGTGCTGGGTTTCCTTCCACTTTTCCCCCAGGTTTTGCATTAGCCTTTTTTGCATGCTGGCTTTCCATTGCTTCCAGTGCAACCTGTGTGGAAGCTCATCCGATGCTCCTCATTTTCTGAGGAATTACTTTGTGTCTGACCACAGCGACTGCGCACGTGCAGCTCACCAGGTGATGCAGATCATCCCATATCTGTGTCTTATCCTTTCGCTGTTAAACACACATCCAATGTCTTGTGGCTTCTGTTGATGATCTGATTTTTTTTTCCTATGTTCCTTTTCCTATGTTGTTTTCCTATGTTTTCCTATTTTTTTTTTTATGTTGCATAATAAGAAAGACTGATGACTTAGAGCCAGGACTCTTTTGGAATGATGTTAATCTAATTATAATTTTCTTTTATAGTTACTGATAAAGACCTGCTGGTTAAATGTTTTCCTTTCATATATGCCAGGTTAATTCTGGTTTGAGTTCAGTGCCTAAGCTGTCACAGAGTATAGAGTAAATTATTTTATAAAAGTCTGTTACAAATTAGAGTATGATATCAAGTTAATAAATAGCTACCTTCATGAGCTCACACTGCATTGTATTTAGTATGTTATCTTTTGTATCTATTATGAATTGAACTCTGAACAAGCACATCATCCTTCCTGGGAGCTGGGCCAGCCTAGAGTTTGTCCAGGTCATTTTACTTTTGAAAATCAGTATAATGTTGACAGTCCTCCAGCCTCCTGCAACGTCAGAGACTTATTGAAAATCCATGTTAACATTCCAGTGTAAAGGCTTCTGCATATGTTTCCTTATATTTAAATAAATAAAAATTGAACATAGATGAAACTGACGCTAGCTCTGCAGTGGGAAGGAAGCAAAGCATGAGCAGGGTAGACGGGCTGCTCAGTGCCCAGTAAAACTCGCTAACCAAGAACCTTGAGAAGGCATCAAGCACTCAGCTTTGGGAAAACAAAGCTGCTAAAATTGAAAGGAAGACTAACTTGTGAACTTTGTTTGCTCCTCTGTCTTTTCCAGCAGTGTAAACTGGGACGATACATGCTGAAGGAAAGCCCAGGAAAGGAAATGGGGATCGGACATGAGGTTGGGGCCGTGCTGTAGTCTGCCTGGGGAGCTCAGAAAGCCATGCGCCAACTTCCCAGCCCTCAGACAGGGGCTGCAACTCCATGTTCCTCTGTTGGGGGGTTGGAACGTATGTGCACAAGCCCCCGAGGAATTTTGAGATTAAATGTCGCTCTCAGGAATGCAGTAACTTCACTTCTTTTAACTACGTTTTCAGCCCTTTGCCAGTGATTAAAGTTCAAGGTCGAGATGCATCTTTCCTTGTGGACATTTGCTTTGATTCCTGATGTGCTTTACTGAAAAATCTCAAACATACAGCAAAGGAGGTGACAGCATGTCAGAGAATTACATATTTAGTTCTAGCAGTGAGTCAATCAGACATCTAGGCAATTACCCTCTGCTCAGGATGACAACTGAGAGATGTGTTTATTCTGTCTCCAGGAATCTCTGTTATTTTAGGATCCTTTCCAGAATGCAACCAGTGCTAACTCGTCAGTATGTGGAGACTCTTGTTTATGCTTTGGTTTCCTATCTGGGTGGGATTATTCAGTTATTGACTTGCTGGCCCCCACTCAACCTTTTAAATTCATTTCTACCTTCCATACAATTTCTTGGCAGGAGCTACAGGCTGTCTAAGCTCAATCCCTCATATCTTCATCTGTGCTGATGAATTTTTTATCTGCTTTTCAAAGGGTATTAGCTTTTCCACGAGCTGTTAGGTGGCACCTCGCTATCACTGCTAAGGCTCTTGCGGTTTGGCATCTCCCACAGCCTGACACAGCGGTTTGCTGGTCCTTCCCAGAGCTTCTCACCGTGAAGGGCCTTGCAGAGACTCACCCTGCTTATGCGCTGGGATCCCCGTGTAAAACCCTGCTCTCCTTTACGTCCCTGTAAAGGCATTGACCTCAGAGGCATCACAGCAGGTCAGTACTGAGATGCCTGGAAGCCAGCTATTTCCCATCCTCTCGATATACCGCAGGCACGCTGCAGACAGTGGCGGTTGCAACTCCTGCCTGAATCTGATTAGTGAGCTAAATATTTTCTGCTCCATGGGAGCACCCAGTGCCGTATAAGCTGGAGGCTTCCCTCAGGCAATGAACAGATGAGTTTAGCTGCAACAGACTTTGTTATCTTTTGACACTTTATTGGGGAATCAGTTACTTCTGTGAGAGAAAAGGTCTTTCTGATGGCATTTGCCTTTCTGAGCGATGCAAGACCTCTGGCAAGCTACAGAAGTGAGCCCTGCCACTCAGCTGAAGGGTGGGCCACCATTATGCCCCAAAACATCCCCAGTTGGGGCAGGAGTTATAAGCAGCCAACATACAGCTAACTCAAATTCCCACTTTTCATTTGAAGAGGACTCAATATAGTGACTGGTACTGTCCTGACCAAGCAAGCCCCAGGGACCCCAGCTCCTGCTGAGAGCTCCCCAGCGTGCCCCAGAGCTGGGTGCTGCTGCATCCCAGCACCCACCTCCCAGGAACCCTTCCCCTTGCACCCCCACAAGGGCTACAGAATGGCACCTGAACCATGGACAGAGACAACCCTCTCCTACCCCTCTGCAAACCTGCTAAAACTCTCCCCACCCACCCACTTCTCCCCCTGTGAGGCTGGAAGACAGAGCGGGGGTTGCAGGTTCAGGAGGCCTTTCTTCATTTCTCTTCCTGGAAGCCTGGTTATTATAGCAGTAGCCTCTAGCTACATCTGTGAAGAGGAGTACCTCCACCAGGCATCTCCTGTAATAATGACTTCTTTCTTCTTTGAGCTTGCGAGGCACTGTTGTATGACATTAAGAAGGTGAATCCAAAGAGGACCATAGATGTAGGGTCATTCCAAGTAAACCCTGACGGGACACAAGAGAGGAGTAAGGTAACAGAAAAATGATATGACAGCACATAATTGCTGATATGTGCAATTACCAACCACTTATCCAAACAGCAGTTGGTCTTAATCTTACAACCTTTTTTCTTGCTAAGGGTATCAGCCACTAAATTGCTTCTGCTTCCTCTGGGACCCAAAGTAATCTTTAGGCTTGAAATTGAGGCATTTTCCTTCCTTTTCAGTACCTACATTTCTTTGCCTTTTTAATATTTGAAACAGTATTGTTCCATTGTTAATCTTGATAAAAAATAAATCCGAGCTACACACATTATTAAGACAGAGAAAGAAAAAGGGAGAATGAGAGGGAGAAAATATATGTTCTACCTAAAGACTGACTCTTATAGAATCATAGAATCATGGAATCATAGAACGATTTGGGTTGGAAGGGACCTTAAAGATCATCTAGTTCCAACCCCTTGCCATGGGCAGGGACACCTTCCACTAGACCAGGTTGCTCCAAGCCTCATCCAGCCTGGCCTTGAAGACATCCAGGTATGGGGCATCCACAGCTTCTCTGGGCAACCTGTTTCAGGGTTTCACCACCCTCTCTGTGAAGAACTTCTTCCTGATATCTAATCTAAACCTCCCCACTTTCAATTTAAACCCATTACCCCTTGTCTTGTCACTACAGGCCCTTGTAAAAAGTCCCCCTCCCGGCTTTCTTGTAGGCCCTATTATTATTTAATCAGGCATTGCACTGGAGGTCCAAATAGTGTCTGTTGCTATCCATAGGCTTCTTTTGTGTGCTGGATACCTTCAATTTCCATTGCCTATGTTGAGACCTGAGGCTAGTTAACATTTTGTTGGACCAAACCCTCACATTGCCAACTTCCAGAAGCAGAGCATGGCTTCCTCTCTGTGTTTTTCAGCATGGAAAATACAGATCATTCTAGATGCATGTAAATAGAAAAGCCTCTGGAAATGTTTGGTGAGCTAGGTCATTCAGCACATATTTCAGAGGATTGTTGGTGACTCAGATAATGGATTTCCATCATCACTCTCTGTAAATTAAAAGGCTTAAGAGAGTATTTAAGGCATAAAGAAGATGAAAGCTGCTTCTTTGTAAATGGCAGTGACATTTTCAAGGTGATATTTCTCAGGCCTGGCTCTGCATGTCTATTCCCAAGCTATCACTGGGAAGGACTGAGGACCAAGCTGTCCAAGGATATGACTGGAAAGAGGCCCCAGTTTTCCAAGGCAGCAGGAGGTGAGATGAATAGGAAACTGTACAAGTCATCTGAGTCTTCTGGAGTCAAACTCCAAGAATTTCATCTTTACTAGCAGGGAGAACCTCAAACTCAGGGTACCATTGTGGCCAATAGTGTGGTTAGCAATAAGAGACAAGTGTAGGGTCAAGTAAGATTAACAACTAAAAGAAAGTGAGAGGAAGACACAGTGGTTAATCTGGCATTGCATGGTTAGTCTGTAACAGAACATGTGATAGCTCTTGGGGTGCTCCAGACACGGTCCCAGGTCAGCACCCCAACCCCTGGGCCTTGCTGCCCCTAATGGCATGGGTCGGCATTAGACTCCAGTAGTGGGCTGATACGTGTGCATCTTCCTTGCTTTCAGCAAGAAAGTCATTCCAGTGCACAAATGATGTCTCAGTGTGGGCACACACATGAATGGGTGCCCACGCCTGCCTGTGGACACATGGACACACAGGAGATGACTGCAGGAGGTCTTGGTGCAAGAAGTGAAGCCATACGGACAACTAAGCGTACATTACTAAAGTCTGACTCTAGTGCAAACTACCATTCTTGTTTATTCATATGTTGACCCCAATATTAGCGGTACACATTTCTTAAACAAAATCCATGTCCTGCACTGCTAATTGTTAACATAACAGAGGGTTCGTGAACCCGTCTTTCATCACATCACTTAAGCATTATTTAAACAGTATTTTATTACATTTATTTCTTCAGAGGTAAAAACATTTCCTTGCTATGCCTGTCAACTGATTTGAAAACTAAATATCTGAATTGCTGTAGTTTATTTTTCACAATGATATCTATATTGTTTCAGTATTAGCCTTTGAGAATAAACCAAAAAATTTAGCCGTCTGTTGTCTTAATTTTGGGATATCAGAAGACTGCTTTCCCAGGAAAGAAATATTGGCTGGCTTGTTAAAAGAATGAGTTTTAGACCCTGGTTTGCATCTTCAAAAGTGAGTGAGGCAGTTAGTCACCAAACCCAGTGACTTTCAATGAGAATTGGTTACTTAAAATTCAGAGGCCTCCTTCAAAAGCTCATCCCTAATCTCTTCAGAACAATTTCTACTTCATTGTAATTAACTGTGGATTTAGACTTCAGTATAAATTCATCATGACTAAAATTTACAAAAGCATCTTGAAGTCCTAGTTTCAGAATGGCTTAGGCCCCAAAGAGCCCAAGTTCTCCTGAAAGTCCACAAAGTTACTAATGCCGTATTTAAAGTGTGGCACTGGAGACCTTTCCCGAGCTCTTGAGTTCAGATGTTTGTATCTGCCACATCCCATTTCCACGCCACAGTAAGGTCTGTGCACCCATCGCCTTCCCTCCCGCCAAGAGCTAGGGGTGTGTGGGCTAGAGAAGGGCTGCAGTTGCTCCTGCTCATTTGAGACCTGGTGCAGGCGATGAGGATGGTGAGGTGTGCAGGGAAGCATACCTACCCACGCTGCCTATGTGACCCGGGTGTCCCATGGCCATAACGTTTAGGAAGCTAAAGCTACTTCAGTCTTTTCAAAACATTTGTTTTTGATTTTTTGATCAAAGTAATTTGAAACATTACTTTGTTTTTCTAGGATTTTTGTCCATGATCTCTTTTGGTGTGATGGGCTGGACAATTGAAAGAATGCATTTTATCTGGATATTGCCCTTCAAGAAGAAGGGAAAGGTTTGGCTTGGTACGAGTGAGAAGGGACAAATTCATAAGGAGAAGGGATAGATGCAGACATAGGATTTCTATTCTGAGCTGAGGTGCTGTGTAACCTATATAGTAGGTTTTAAGAGTGGCATAATTGTCTCCTGTCTATTGATTGCTCCTCCACTTTGTCAAAGCAGAGGGGGCAGAGGATCCCAAGATTGAAAAAAAACGCCAGAAAAACAAAGAAAAAACCTTCTCTGAAAGCTTTAAGTTTGAAAATCCCATTTCTCTTGGTGTGACTGCAGGAGTTTCAATTCTGGGCTCTGTTTCCACAGAGCTCTGCATGTTTTTATGAACATGAGCTGTCCTGTAGGCCCCTGTATTATCACCATCCCTGCGTGCTCCTATGTGTTCTCAAAGTCAGAGCTGTGATCCCCAAACAGCTGGTTGCTCATGGAGCCTGGCTCTCCCTGCTGCACTGCAAATTGCAATTGGATGGCAAATGGTTTCCTTCCCCAGAAAAGAAAAAAAGTCTTTCAAAGATTCCCCATCCTACACTGGAATTAAACAAAACAAAACAAAAAAAAAGGAAGCTAAGAAAAGCCTGTACTTTGTGTTTTATAGTGGGACAGTACTGGAGGCTCCTATTGTATGGGAAGCCCAGGATTAAGTTTTCTTATCTACTGATTAACCCAAAAGCCTTGAATTTTTAGGATTTGGCGTTGGTTTGATTTTTTGTGGGTTTGGTGTTTTTTTTAATAAAAAAAAATCCGGTTTGATGATGATGATGACACTTTTGGGAAGAATTATGTGAACCAGCTCTGACAATGATTTGGTAAGGGCAATTTTTTTAGTCCCAGGTGGACATCCATGACCAAGGCTGGATTGCCATTCAGAAAGCAGCTATTTACTAGGGCCAGTTCCTTGCCCTGAAGTCAAAAAGGTATCACAGGTTGTGTCTGTATCCAGGCTAAACACTCTTCACACTAAAGTGCTCACTGCACCCTGCACTGTCCCCAGACAATACCTTAATACTCTTAAATAGCGATATCTGGGATGAGATCAATTCAATAGTGTGGACCATAGGAGATCAGTGCCTGAGCCCATGTGTGACACTTGGCAGGCAGAGCTCTGCCTGACTCCAGCTCTCCCTTCTGGGTACCACAGGCATCAGCAGCATCAGTGCCTCCACCAGCCATTGCGGGTGTTGGACATTTTTTGGCACCCTGATCTTTGATTTTCCCCATCAGAGTATTGATTATTCTGCGATTCATCTTTTTTGCCTGGTTTTGAAAAGAAATTTCATCCTGAAGCTGCAAAACTTTTTTTTTTCTTTTTTTTTCTAAGTTCTTGTGAGGTTTGTTATGTTCTCTAATCAGTTTTGGTTCCAGCAAATCAGGCTGGATGCGAGTGTGTGGACAGAATAAAACACACCTCAGAGCAACATGCCTACAAACAGCCCTCCCAGTCAGAGTCTCGTCCTACATTTTTGCCTCTGATTTTGTGTTGCTTGTCTAATTACGTTGGCTGCTGTGTAATTATTTTCATGGAACAATAATTTTAACAGCATGCAGTTTATCAGAGGTGCAAATTATACGTATTAACATACAGCAATTTTCAGTTAAAACTTCCATAGCGTTCAGAAGTCCTCATAGTTTTCAGCAAATTGAAGAGGAAATAGGTATTCTCCATTTTGCATTTTTCTTTTTCCTTTTTCACAGAGAAAACAACCTACTGATTTTCTTGGAGTCAATTAAACCCATTTGAAATAAAGCACTTTTATTTTGCAATAAGACTGTCTACATGGGGAGTTAATCAAGAATAATTATTCCTCTCTAAATTCACGTATTCGAATAATTTGAATTAAATTCCCAGTATAGGCAAGCCCTAAATGTCAGAGGAGGTTAAAAAAAAAGTCATCTAGAGGAGATCTATCATATCAGAAAGCAATGAGAATAAAAACCTTGTCTGGGCACCCAGGCCAGGCCGGCGAGGAAAGCCATGTCAAGACTGATTCAGACTCATTCACCACACTTGATTACACATGCACTTGCTCAGTGCTTTGAAGTCAATCACACATACATTTCAGTAGCATCATCTGTACGCACGCACTGTGGCGGTGATAGCAGCGTCGGGGAGGGAG